GCTCCAGAGCAAACTAACTGATGCAGCGGCCAAATCGCTCGCTCACCACTTGAATGCCAGTAGCTCACGGAGTAGAATTTTTGCTCACAAGACTCCACAGCTTAGAGGGAACATTGGTGCTAACTCAATATGGCAGCTGTATGCATTCCGAAGCCACATTGACCACCAGAACCGGCTGACTGCAGTGATGGCATGGGCTTGAAGTCCCCCAGGAATCTGATGGGTGTATTTTATCCCACTTGGCAGGTACGAGCTGAAGGGGCAGATAAAAGCTGTGTCACGTTTGTGCTCCACAACGAGGACCACACCCTGGGCAACTCCCTCCGGTACATGATCATGAAAGAGTAAGTCATGTTCTGTGTGCTGAAATGGTGGGACAGCCGGGGGGGGGGGGGGGGAGGAATGCAGGTCACCTAACAGAGTTCTCACCACTTGAAGAGATCGGGTGCCTTTGCTATTGCGCTGTGCTGGAGCTGCAGGAACCCCCTGGCAGATGGATTGCATTTGTTTCGAACCCCTGCCGTCCAGCCAGGCTCAGAATGTCAGCAAATGTTTTTCTGTGCCGGGCGTGCAAAAAGTGAGTTGCCTGGAGAAATGCAAGAATGTTATCTAGATGGTCAAACATGGAGCTTTAGGAGAATGCTTGTTATTTTTTCTTCTCTTTTTCTATAAGGACATGTGATTGTTGTGTGATTCTGTTTTTACAAAATCTGATTTATGGAACTGCAGGGAATGTGATGACAGCCATTTTAAGCTTAGCCTGCGTAGGCAAGAGAGTGCTTTTATAAACACAGCAGAGTTGTAGTTTACTGCACAATTTACCGCGTGTATTAATTTGTTTTTTTATTGCACTGTTTTCTCATTTTTAATCTGCCTTGAGTCTCAGTGAGAACGAAGGGCTATAATTAAAAGGAAATAAACGATTATATGGCAGTTTGAGGGGGCCAAATGGACTGTACCACTTCAGATGGCAGGGAAGGGATTACATTTTTCCAAGGTCTCTTATGTTACTAGTTCCCTGTAAACTAGTCCAGCATACGAAGGGCTAGCCTAGAAATGGTCTGCACAGTTTTGTTTTTAATTTGCAGGGAGTTTTTACGCAGAATATTATAAATATGGACCCAACCCACCTATGTTCTGTAGTGGTATACCCCATTCTGCTGTCTGCACATGTGGTCTAGGTCTGAGATGGCTTTCAAAGGCAGCTGGAGAAGTTCATGGAGGACAGGTTCATGCTACCCCCCTGATGGGGGTGGGGTTCCCCCCAATTTCTGAGGCCCTGATCTGCCACTGGCTGGTGGGAGGAGCCCCGTCCTGCCTGATGTGCCCGGCGCAATGTTGTCACCCGGAGGTGACATTATCATGTCAGGCACACTGCATGGGGGCACTCTAGCATTTGGCAAAAACTCTATGGTGACCATAGAGGGTTTTTTGTCCAAATGCTACAGCGTCCCGCCCAACGTGCCTGGCGCGATGAAATCACCTCCAGGTGATGTTCACACACATACCAGAAGTCTCCCAGAGCAAGACTGGAACCACCCCCATCCCCCAGCCAGCAGCCAGGTAAGACCTGTAACCCTACGGAAAAGAGAACTTTTGATGGCTATTAGACACAGTGACAAATGGAACCTCCAAGTACAGAGGCAGTGTACCTCTGCATACCAATGGCTTTGGAGGGATGACAATGGAGGATGGCTATTACTTTCATGCCCTGCTCGAGAGGTTTCTCTAGGGGTAAGGAAGGCCTTTGATTGGCTGCAATGGCAGTGTGGTGGATTAGATCCTGTAGGCTCTCATGATCTGGGTAAGCAGGCTTGTGAAAAACACTGACTTTGATGGACTCAGCTGTTGCACAGTTTGGACTGCGGTATGCAGGCTTGCATCGTCTATATAGGCAGGTAGCTTCTGTGCTTTTGGGGGGTATCGAAGTTGATGCACACTGTTGCACAGTCTGGACTGCGGTATGCAGGCTTGCATCTATACAGGCAGGTAGCTTCAGTGCTTTTGGGGGGTATCGAAGTTGATGCAGAACTTCTTTTTCTTGGTGCACCGTGCGCCTGACCCAGCTTTCAGGGAAGTTTCTTGTTCCATCTTAGTCTCCCTGGCTCTTATGAGCTCACACTGCTTATTCTGGCCTCTCTGTCCCTCTTTGTTGTCCCTTGGGAACCTGTTTCTCCGCAGCCCTGAAGTGGAGTTCTGTGGCTACAGCATCACCCATCCTTCCGAAAGCAAAATCAACTTCCGGATCCAGACCAAAGGTGAGGCCTCCTGTCCGGCTTGCCAGGCTTCAAAGGAACTCTCAGGTTATGGATGCTGGGAAAGGCTTTTGTCTGCTTGGGACCTTCAAGAGCCACTGCCAGACAGAGTAGACGGTGCTGAGCTGGACGGGCCGGTGATGTGACTTGGGATAAGCCACTTTCCATATGCACACGTCTTTCCATGTGGAATCGGCACTGTCACCAGGATCTCTGTGGCTTTTAGCAGCAGGCATCCTGGGGGTCCTACAACCCCCCGGAAATCCCTGATCATTGCCATGAGCGTGTTTTGGGCAGAACAAGACTCATCTCTAGACCAGGAGCCCCCAACATGGTCCCTGTGAGTGCCTTCCAAGTGATTTCGGAAAGTGGGTGTGGCTTTTGACCAGCAAGGCTCCCGATTGGCTATGCAGATAAAAAGGTATTCTATTGAACAGAGCTTTTGCCAGACATTCTGAAGGGTTATTATTAATCTGTAACCTCTTTCCCAGCCGTTTTGTGGTTGGCTTCACCTCCTGCGGCGGCCCTTTTATGGTTGTGTGCCCACTGCCTTGTGTCAGAATTCCAATGGTGCCTGCGGGCTCAAAAATGCCGGGGACCTCTGCTCTAGACATTTGGGATGAGGGGAGGGGAGGTGTCCTTGTGGATTTTGCCGGGGAGACGCTAAGCTTCCCGGGTAGCGTTTGATGGCAACTAACTGAGGGACAAAGTGTGGGGTAGTAGGTAGACCATCAAATTAGGAACTGAGTGATCCGAAAGTGATGTGGCTGTCCTCAACCAGGGACATGGCCTTTTCAGCCCTGGCCCCCACCTGGCGGAACCCTCTGTCTAGTGAGACCAGGGCCCTGAGGGACTTGAAGCAGTTGTGCTGGGCCTGCAAGACAGAGAGGCTCCACCAGACATGCGGTCAGGGATAGCAATGGTGAGATGAATACCCACCCCAGCCTAGAGTTTCGGTCCCCTCCCAGATATCCCTTCCTGATAGTCACCAATTGTAATGCTTTGATTTTTATCATGCATATGCCTCATGATGGAGTGAGCTCCCATCTCTAGTTCCAGCTCCTGCCAACCTAGCAGTTCGAAAGCAAGAAATTGCAAGTAGATAAATAGGTACCACTTCGGTGGGAAGGTAACAGCGTTCCGTGCGCCTTGGTGTCTAGTCATGCCGGCCACATGACCACGGCAACGTCTTCGGACAGCGCTGGCTTTTCGGCTTTGAAACAGAGATGAGCACCGCAACCCTAGTCGGATTCGACTGGCTTTCGAGCAAGGGAACCTTTATCTTTTTTAACCAGCCCTGAGCCCTGCTGTCCTGGGAAGGGCGGGATAGAAATTGAAAGTAATAAATAAATAAATGCCCCACTCACCTTACTGGGCAGTCCCTTCAGCTCCCAAGCTGTTGTCGTTGTTGTTTGTGTGTGTGTGTGTGTGTTTTGCTTTTGGTGAGCATAAAGGGAGCAGTGTCCATCACTCTGAACTTCTTGGAGCAAGGGTTGGATAAAAATGCAATTAGCTCTCAGTCCTCCAGTCTGAATGCTTCTCTCCTGCCTTGCAGGAGGCCTCTCTGCTCTTGAGGTGTTCCAGAAGGGCCTGGAGGAACTCACAGATGTTTGCCAGCATGTGCTCAGCAAATTCGAGGTAGGTCAGTCCCTTGTCTCCCCCATTCCAAGGCAGGCTAGATAGGATTCTCCTCTTGCAAAAGTGGGCCTGGGTTTTGCTGTCCTTGGAATATGAGAGCTTGCGTTGACTAGAGGAGCGACGCCCCATTCTGTTCCGGGCAGGAATCCCTTGCTAAAGAATCCTGAGCACAGAAGATGCCCTTTTCAAATTCAGGTCTCCTTCGCAAACACCATACCCTGGGTTTCCTGTGCAGCAATCTCCTGGTTTCCTCTCTAGGAGGAGACCTCCTGAGAGTACTTGTCCACAGAGGAGAGACCACATGTCCTCAGTCCAGACTCTTTGTTTTTGCAGGCAAGCATGGAGGCGTACAAGGCACAGAAGGACGTAAACATGGAGTAGCCCCTGTCGGGGGGGGCAGCATGGCATGCACCATTGTACATAGTGACTGTTGTTGGGTTGTGATTCGGGGGCAAGGCTTTATTTTTTTATGGACTTGGGGTGGGCTTTCCTAATAAATACTAAATTACCTAATCCGCATTCTTTGTTCATTCTCAGCACATGTTAAAAACAGCTCGTCTGAAGAATACTGTATGTTAAAATCGTATGTTCTGTGACAAAGAATCAGAACTTAAGTAACTGCAATATGTTAGTAAAACTCATTGACACTGTTGTGGGTTGAAAACAAATGATTATTGGCAATCACCAGTAAATGCTGACCATCCTTGTGCCAACGATTGTTGACATTAAACACTGATTATCATTTTTGTGGTGAGTGAATATCAAAAAGTGGACACTCCATTAACAAAGTCACACAAAACACATGATTTATTTGATCGTGTAAGCTGTATATGGAGGCAGTAGATGCAGTTTTAATTTTAGGGCGCATCTTTATAGCATCAGTTTGACCAGTAAGGAATTCTGACATCTAAGGATGGTCAAAAGTTGTTTGCAGCTATGCTGATCCAGAATAATAATTAAAAAATCACAACCCGCGTAACAGTTTTTATTAGGACTAGCCAATGTGACAGAAAACAGGGTGCAAGTTTGAGTCCATCTGAACTTATGCCAGGCCGAATGAGGGTGCCTCATCGTTGAGATGCAATAACTTCAGATGCGTCAAGGTTTTATCAGATCTCTCTGCCTATCCAAATGGCCGCATTGAACAAAAAGAAAATATAGTGATGGGGCACACCATTTAGCTTCCTGGGAATATCAGCTGCGCCCGCCATTCCCCCCCAGCGGCATCTGGTGAAATATTGCAAGCTAGGAAGTGAGGGTAGAGCAGGTCAGGGGCAGGCAGATGAGTCCCCAAAATGGCTTTTTGTCCCCCCTGTCCTATTTGCAGTTTTACCAAATAAGCAAATATTTGTAATGCTTAACTAAGACAAACCCCAGAGTTGAGAACCAGCATCGTCTCATGGTTAGAGTGTCCAACTAGGATCTGGGAGGGTTAGCAGTCAGACCCCTCCTCTCGCCGGGGAGGGGGGCAGTCTATAGACAGAAAAACCCATATCGATATCCGCTCACATATCATGAGCTGCAATGCACTGCCTGGCCTAAAGCATCAGACAATAGATGCCAGCAAGAGACAAGTCTGGACCATAAAAAACATTGCAAAAGGACACAAGATGGATGTCAGCCAGGGCAATTCTGGACATATAGATCAGAAGTGTGCAGGAAAGAGCGGTGGACCTGCTAATGACCCCTTCCCACCCTAAAGAGATGCATTGTTCAGGACAATGGGTCTCCCAAAATAGGTTGCCTCACCTTGGGTTAACCTTGTCACATGCCCAGCCTCAGTTCCCCTTACCCATTTACCCTAATTTAGCAACACTTAACACTATTCATAAAACCTGGCAGCTTCTCCCGTCCAGTACTTAGTAGATCATGAAGAAACATTAACAAGGGGGATCCAATAGATATTGTTTACCTTGACTTCCAGTAAACTTTTGATAAAGTTCCTCATCAAAGGCTCTTAAGTAAGCTCAAAAATCATGGGATAAAAGGACAAGTCCTTTTATGGAACAAAAACTGGCTAATTAATAGAAAACAGAGAGTGAGTATAAATGGGCAATTTTATAAGTGGAGGGTGGTAAGCAGTGGGGTACCGCAGGGATCAGTACTTGGTCCACTGCTTTTTAACTTGTTCATTAATGATTTGGAGTTGGGAACAAGCAGTGAAGTGGCTAAGTTTGCGGATGATACGAAGTTGTTCAGGGTGGTGAAAACTAGTGAGGATTGTGAGGCACTCCAAAGGGATCGGTCAAGGATGGGCAAGTGGGCATCAACATGGCAAATGGGGTTCAATGTGGCCAAGTGCAAGGTGATGCACACTGGAGCCAAAAATCCTAACTATAAATACACAATGATGGGGTCTGAACTGGCAGAGACTGATCAAGAGAGAGATCTTGGAGTTGTAGTAGATAACTCACTGAAAATGTCGAGACAGTGTGTGACTGCAATAAAGAAGGCCAATGCTATGCTGGGGATTATTAGGAAGGGTATTGAAAACAGATCAGCCAATATAATAATGCCCCTATATAAATCAATGGTGAGACCTCATTTGGAATACTGTGTGCAGTTCTGGGCACCACACCTTAAAAAGGATATTATAGCTTTGGAAAAAGTGCAGAAAAGGGCAACTCAAATGATAAAAGGGTTGGAACACTTTCCCTATGAGGAAAAGTTAAAGCGCTTAGGGCTCTTTAGCTTGGGGAAACGATGACTGAGGGGAGACATGATTGAGGTTTATAAGATTATGCATGGGATAGAGCAGGTAGAGAAAGAGGTACTTTTCTCCCTTTCTCACAATACAAGAACTCGTGGGCACTCCATAAAATTGCTGAGTGGTCGGGTTAGAACGCATAAAAGGAAGTACTTCACCCAAAGAGTGATTAACACTTGGAATTCACTGCCACAGGGAGTGGTGACAGCTACAAGTATGGATGGCTTCAAAAGGGAATTAGATAAGCATATGGAGCAGAGGTCCATCAGTGGCTATTAGCCACAAGGTATAAATAGGGGCTCTGGGGCAAGTGATGCTCTGTCTTCTTGGTGCTTGGGGGGGGGTCAACAGTGGGAGGGCTTCTAATGTCCTGGCCCCACTGGTGGACCTCCTGATGGCACTGGTATTTCTGGCCACTGTGTGACACAGAGTGTTGGACTGGATAGGCCTTTGGCCTGATCCAACATTGGCGTCTCTTATGTTCTTAACACCTATCGTCCACCTCGGGTAAACTCATCAAGGCTTTGCCCAAGTCATTCTTCACCTCCAAAAAAGTAATCAAATCATTGTATTGGAGGCAAACATGTCAGACTGGCCCAGAGAACATTTTATCTTAGAAGAAGAAGAAGAAATTGACCCGAAGGTCATCCAGCAGCTGCAAGTGGAGGAGTGGAGAATCAAACCCGGTTCTCCCAGATTAGAGTCCGCGATCTTAACCACTACACCAAACTGGCTCTCGACTAAACTGGATCGCCCTGCTTCCCTAGTAGTTTTTGTGTGTTCTTAGTGTCAGACCTCAACCCCACCCCCCTTTGTGTGTGGGCTTCCTCCATCGCTCCATGAAATGTTGGTCATTTGACTGTTCTCTCGGCGGACCTCACTCTCCAAGACCAGGCCTCATTTCAGGCTGAAGCAGGCCAGAGCAACACTCCGGCAGTAAACAGGCCAACCCCCCCCCCCCCCCCCAGGTCACCCATCATCAGAAGCATCCCCCTACAGCTCGCAGTGCCGGCACACCAGGAAGAGGGCAGGAGCTTCAGCTAACAAGATGTCCGATCTGTACAAACGTTGCCGCTTCTGCCCAAGTGAGGTGTTTCACTCACAAAAGTTCAAGGGAGGAGGAGGAAGAGCAGGCAGCCAGAAAGTTGCAGGTGGAGCAGAATCAGCGGGCCGGTCCTTCCGAGGGCGCATTCCAGAGGCCTGAGTCTGCGCCTGGCACTGCCCGCCTTCCACGCTGGGCTGCCCTTCAGTCTCCAGGCCGGGCCCTGCACTCCACTGTATGGCCACCGAGGCCCGCCAGCTGCTGCATGCCCGCCTCGCCACCTGACCACACACCGGGGTGAATCAGGCAGCCAGCAGGGAGCGGGAGGATCAGGACGCCAGGTGCTTCACTTGGCTTCACCAGGCCGTGGGGAGCGGCAGCACCACAGATCAGGGCCGGTGGAGGAGGAGGAGCATGTGCACAGCAGAGGGCGAGGAAGTGCGCGCAGGGCATGGGAGGACCAGGAGGTGTGGGGGGATTGAGGGGGCACCTCTGTTGCAGCCCCAGCAGGTGGGAGGGTGTCTGAGATGTGCTGGGACAGCATCAGCAGTTTGCAGAGGAAGAACCCACCATGGCTGAAGCTGGACATTCCTGCACCCATGGGGGCAGCGGTGGCGGGCTCAGCCCTTGAAGCGCCAGACCTTCCTGCAGAGCATCAGCATGCCGACAAGGGGAGGGGACTAAAGAGAGCATGCTAGAGGGGGGGGGGAGAGTCAGTGCCAGCAGTGTTTTCTTCCCAGCTGTTTTTGCCTACAGACTTCTGGGGGGGGGGGGGCTAAAGAAACAAT